ACTGGGTGGTATAGATGGATTCTACCAATATTCCAATATTCTGATATTGTGGAATGAGGGTTTCTTAGATAGCAATGATTAACAAATGATTTCAGAACATTTGGATGTAATTATCCTTATAAATTTATCTTACACTTCAATATTTGAGAACTTTGAACACAATATTTGAGGTTTCTGAACACAATTAACATTTATTTTATGAGTTCAGTATAATATCTTTATTCTTCCACCCATTCATCTATTAATTTTGCCAGTTAGGGATACTTAATATGCAACAGACATCATGTGAAATACTAGGGATTCACAGATGTATAAATAGCTCTCACCATACTTAGCATCTAATGATCTATCTATATATATATTTAACTTACATGATATATAAGGTGAAGATGTAAATAGTAATTTTGCCAAGTTATGGTTGTTAGAGGGGTATTATTAGTTTTATATAAAATAGTATAGGGACTCCCTTGGTGGTGCAGTGGTTAAGAATCCACCTGCCAATTTAGGGAACACGGGTTCGATCCCTGGTCCAGGAAGATCCCACATGCCACGGAGCAACTAAGCCCGTGTGCCACAACTACTGAGCATGTGCTCTAGGGTCTGCAACTACTGAGCCTGCGTGCTGCAACTACTGAAGCCCGTGCGTCCTAGAGCCCGTGTTCCGCAACAAGAGAAGCCACCGCAATGAGAAGCCCGTGCACCACAACAAAGAGTAGACCCTGCTCGCTGCAACTAGAGAAAGCCCGCACGCAGCAACGAAGACCCAACACAGCCAAAAAAAAAAAAAAAGTATAAAAGCACAGCACAATAGACAAATCTAAATTCTTCTTCTTTTTCAAGGGACTTTGAATGGCTCCTTTATCACAACACAAAATAACACAGCTGAGGGGTCAAAAAGACAAAACCAACTTGATGGTTTACCAATATAAAGCCAGCAACCAATATGTTAGGAGCATATCTGAGGCGATCAAAGCCTTAAACTGTGAGAAATTTAGGTTGGAAGTCCAAGATCAAGGTGCCAACAGGGTGGGGTTCTGGTGAGTTCATTTTTTCTGGCTTGTAGGTGGCCGCCTTCTCATTGTGCCCTCGCGTGACCATGGAGACAACTCTGGCATCTCTTATTTCCAATAACACCAGCCCTATGGACTTAGGGTCCCACCCTTATGACCTCATTTAACCTTAATTACCTCCCCAAAGACCCTATATCCAAATATAGTCACATTGGGAGGTAGGGCTTCAACCTGTGAAGTTTCGGGGGGAGACTATTTAGTCCATAACATCTTCCCATGTATGCAATCTCACATTTATAACTCTTGGTCTTGATAAGCCATCTGCCACAGCAACACTAAATTCCTCAAATTCCCTGAATTTCTAACATTTTTTTCTCCATGTTTTTGATCACGTTTTATTTTTGCTAAGTTCTCCCTGCTTCTCTCTCTGGCAAACCTGCAGGTCGATCTCTTTTCCCAGGCCTTCCCTGACTTTCTGCAGGAAGAATGACTGTGTCTCCTACATAACCTCTCATACGGTACAGCACTATCACGTTAAACTTTAATTTATGGTAGACGCTCAATACATATTCATATTTTTCAACAAATGGATGATACTAACATTTTTACAAAATCTCCCAATATTGCTCACTATGAAGATAGTTCTCCAGGAAGTTATATTCATGGATTATTGTTATGCAATCATTTCTTTTCCCCGCAATTTTAAGGGATATCTAAAGTTAAGGGATAGGTGTTCTTGTCTCATACTTTTGGGCAAAAATTTAATTTAAAGAAATAACTAATTATAAACATTACTGTTATTTTGAAGTCCTGTGACAGCTACGTAATTAGGAAAAACTGTTATGTTGTTTAAAATAAAGAGAAAAAGACAGGTGTGTCTGGGAAACCCAGGACTCCGTAGTGATGTGGAACTCTCTCCAGATGACATATTAATCCATTGCACCAGTCATTCAAATCTGCCTATTTTCTCTCTGGACACAAACTCCATTTGCTATCAGGCCATGGCTCCAGCGTGTGTGATCATGCCCTGTATTCACTGCCTAGCACCCACAGTTAATTGGAACATATTGTCCAGATAACAAAAAAATCTAGTTGCTACACGTCCCACTAATAAAAGGAATTGTCCAGTGACCTTGATAACACCTCATTCTCATAATAATTTAACTGATCCTTTACCTACATGGATGATAATATTATTGCCTGAAATAGGCAGCCTGAGCTTAGAAAATTTCAATATTAGCTGTGTAGCCTCAGGCAAATTTATTACCCTGTGGTTGTCTCATCTGTAAACGGGGACCAATGGTAGGACCCACCTCTCAGGATCGCTGGCAAGATTAAATGAATACATGTAAAATACTCAGAATAGTGCCTGACATTTAGTAAATACTCAAATGTTAGTTATTATATTTACTATTATTAAAGTATCACTTAGTTGAAATTAGTCCTACTTAAGTATACTCCATTAAATGAGCTTTTAGTCTCAGAATCCCACACGGACATCAAAGATTACAACCAACCAGGTGAGCATATTTCCATATGAGGGGTGCCTTAAAATTCTGTGATCTCTTGAAAATAGAACTTTTCTACTGGTGGAGGTTTATGTACTGTCCAAACTAGATGATCTGATCCAATTGCTTTGGAACATAAAATGAGTAAAGTTAAAAAAAAATGGGGATGGGTAGAGAAAGCCGTGCAGATCACCAAAAACATTCAACCCTGAGTCAATTATTGTTGTTTTCAAGTTGAAGATAATTGTAATAATGCTATTAGGATTTAAGTTTCTTTAGAAAGGACAGTATATAACCATTTCTTAACCCATACACAGTGACGTCACATTTCTAGAAGTACAAGTCACATATAAATAAATTCTATGAATACTAGGATGTTAATTTTCAAGACCTGTAACTGGGGTCTTTTTCATGGGTGTAATCTTGAAGCCTGCAAACTTCCTTGACCATAACCTTGGGAACCGTTCTTGGCTTCTAGGTCCAGTTCAGCAGTGATTTGGTGAGATGTCTGTGACAATCACTGTAGACAGAACTTATCTTTTCTTCTTCCTCCTCTGTCTGTATTGACAAAACAATATTATCAAATAGTTTTACTGGGATGCTCACAAGAACTTGGGAACACTGTACTTCAGCCTAAATGTCAGCAGAATTCTGCGACTTTCCCCACTGCAATTAATGACTACTTGCTCCTTCTAAGCGTTCAAGTTAAATTTGGGGAGTCGACCTTCACTCCTTCTATGCTCATACCTCAGATCCGGTTTATCAGAAATACTGTGGCTCTACAGAAACCCACTACACTGTATAACCTCCACTTCTACTCCTGATCTAAGCCATCATAACACTGCACCTTGAATTGTTGCAATACTCTTTTTAACTCCTCTCCTAGCTTCCACCCTTGCCCACCTTACGGTCTTGTCTCAACACAGTAGCCAATATGATCCTTTTAAAAGTTGTGGCTACTCTTTTTTCAAAACCTTTGAGTGGCTCCCTATCTTGCTCAGAGGAAAAGCTTAGTGTTTTACAAAAAGCCTGTGTAATCCTGAGCTTCTCGCTCCTTCACCAGCGTTCCTCACTTATCCCCTCTTCCCTCCTCTGTCGACCTCCCTCTGCCACAAATACTCTTCCTCCCTTTCCCTTTTCACTCAACTGTCACCTCAGTGAGGCTTATCCCATCCTATTTAAACGTGCACAGGCCCACACACACCCAAGCATTTCCTATCCCATACTGTGGTTTTCTCCAGAGCATTTATCTCTGTCTAATACAGAAGTTCCTCAAGTGTGATTCCCATCCCACGTGACACTGATGCTGGGCGTCCAGGCACACTTCAGGCGAATCTTCCTCCCAGACTCTCAATCTTTCCGATGGGAGTAGGGCTAAACCACTGACTTGAGGGACCACCAGATTACAAGAAGTGTTTTGTAAAGTGTTTCTTAAATCTCAGAAGGCTGGGCCCCACCCTTGGAATTTCTGATTGGGTAGGACTGGGGTAGGGTCTGAGATTTACATTTCTAACAATTACATGTTCAAAACCACTGGTTGAATAGAATATATGATATACTTTTTATTAAGTTTGTCCATTTCCTTCCCATTAGAATAAAACTCTATGAGGCAGGGATTTCTTTTTCTTGTTTTCTGCTGTTTCCTCATGCAAAGGACAATACCAGGCACATAGTAGCTGCTCAATAAATACATATTGACTGACCAAATGAAAACTATTTACCCTAGTGTTACATCAGAAAATTTCTAACTTTCTCCTGTCAGATTTTATATGCAGACGAAAGCTAAAAAATCTTTATAGTTCAATCCCTTTATGCAAGAAAGCATTTTAAAGTAATGGGCCACAAAACAACTGGGATTTCTGCTACATCACAGCTCACTTCTCAGTGGACTCCGTGGTTTCCACAGCATCTTCTCCCCTCCATGTGCTCTCCCAACTGGGAGCAACAGGTAGGGTGTGAAATGAGAGGTGACAGTTTTCTTCCTAGTGGCCAGACATGTTAGGATTTGAATTAAAATTTGCTGAACTGTATTTTACATTTATCTTTTATAACATGAAATATCACCCTAGTCATTTTTCTACTTCAATAAACTTCTATAGAACTATATCAGAGTCCTGGAATTCCAGATGCAAATGTTGAACCCTGCAAATGTTTTAAGAATTCAGCTGTGAAAGATATGAAAATGTTTTTCAGGAGGCATGTTTTTGGGGGGCTTGTTTTTGCAATAATTTAGAACAGTTTATTCTGTCAATATTCATTCTATCGAACTCTATATAAATAACATTACACTTATGCAAAGAAAAATAGGAGGACATAAGAGATTATGAGATAATGATTCATTTTCTTTCAAACAGACTGTCAGAACAGGGGTCAGCAAACTTTTCCTTAAAGGGCCAAGTAGTACATATTTTAGACTTGCAGGCCATATAATTCTGCTATCGTGGAAAGCAACCAAACACAAAACATAAATAAATGGCTATTATTTGGTTTCAATAAAACTTTATTTACACAAATGGCCAGCCCATGGACCATAGTTTGCTGACCCCTATGTTAAAAGATTCCCAATATTAGTGGAATGAATGAAATGGACCAGATAATTTAGGTAAATCTGCCAAATTTCTCTCTCTTTATATTCTTATAACTAAAAATAATGACTTTAGAAAAGTGACAATTTTAGCATGCAAAACAGACATTTGGCTCTGTGATAAACTGAATTAGTTAAAAGAATCCTTGTATTTATTTTTTAAACAGCACAAATGCAGGTGACATAGGAAGTCCATAATTCCCACATAACTTATAAACTTAACAACTGAGAGTCTATGTTTTTATAATCTTCTGCATCATTCATAACTATTCACTCTATGGAATCCATTCCATAGCAGCAGAGGAGAACCTTAACTCAAAGCACCAAGTTTCCAGGCATTATTACAAATGTCTTGTTTTCATTCTCTAACACATGCAGTCAAACTGCCTAGGAAGCAAATACCAATTCACCTTAAGCATCAATGAATAAGGAAAAACAGTTGAGCAACCAACATTACTCTTACGTCTAAAACTGATTCTACCTCTTTACCTTATTACATTTCCTTCCATGAACATTTTAACTTTTAATGTAGCTATATTTAATATGAATATAAATTGAAATTTGAACATAATCTCTTTCAGATTCAACAGTTTAGGATGTTCGTATCTGTTTCAGAAGTCCTGAGGAAAACAAAAACATTTCTAGAATATTCTGGCAATCTTTATTAAAAGTTAAATTTAGAATTTTATAGCAAAGTAATATGGTCTGTTTGTCCAAATTATAGATTAAAAAATTCCTTAATTTACGTAGATTAAGATACAAAGCTAATTCCCAATACATTTATAGAAGTGTGTTCTCATTTTTTGAACAAGCAGGGTTCAAATGGGCATTTTTAGGACCTTGCTCACATCAGCCTTACATACCCAGAGACTACTGAATCCACTAAATGGACAATGAAAACTGGTTGAGGCTGCTGATGAATGCTTCAACAGGAATCTGATACACAGACACAGATTCCATTGTTATAGTCAATGGAACTGAAGTCTTCCTTAAAATATGCTCCTGATAGGCTGAAGATAGAGTAGTGGACTGTTAGTTCTTTAAGCCAAAAATGCATGGATGTTGTACAAAGGCTTCATTCTCTGCCTGTAGTCAGTAACTTGAGGGCCTTCTGTAGATTCTGCACTGCAGTGCTGACATCTTCATACTGCAAAGCACTGCCAGCATATTTGCAGTATTTCTGAGCTCTAGCAAAGTCCTCTGGTGTTAGTCGGATATCTCCTAAGAGAAATACAGAGTAATTAAGATATTTATAAAGAATATAGGAAGCGTTCTTTTAGGCTAGGTAAATGCTTATAGTCAAGATTACAGAAAATGTTTAAGGTTATATTAAAAACTGAAGGTTGTTTTCCCCAATCCCCAGTTGTATTTGAATAGTTTCTTTATGCTTTTAAATTTTTAAATTACTAATATAAACCATACAGATGTCAATACATAACAACTTATATGAGCAAGATTTTCCTACCAGAAGTCAAAAACTGGAAGCCTTTATATTTTGGCAAATTAACTGCAAAAAAAATCATATTCTGTATAAAACAAGGAAAACTGCTTTGGTGTGTATGTTAGAATTGCTGAGACTCTCTTCATGGAACAATAAATACACACAGACTAAACCATTCAACCCTCATTTGAACTAGAATATAAATATAACTCAAAAAAAAATTAAATAACAAACTTTATGTTAAAAAATTACATAAGTCATCTAACTCTTTTTAAGCAAGAAAATAGTTTGCATTTTTGTGCTGTCCATATACAAAACTCTAAGGTTTAACTAAGACATATCATTACACTACACAATTTTTAAACATGTAAACAACCCTTACCAATTATTTGTCCAAAATTTTTTCCAGCAAGTTTTCTAGTTACACTATGATTGATAAGGATGAGCCCAACTAAATAATTTGGGTAAAAAAAACACACTGAAAACATTTCATTTAATCTAAGATTTGAATATACTTGAATATATATTTCTAAAGGTGAAATTAAAACTGACTTTGTGTCTTATCTTTGGAAATAAATACAATTTTCTTTAGAAATTTTTATGAGGACTCTAAGGAGAACTGGTCAGAAGGCTGGGGGCATACAATATAACGAAAAGATAATATATTTCGATTCTGTTTCTAAATGAACATATATTTTGATCCTGTTTATAAGCTTGTAGTTATAAATATAATTACTTTTTTTAGTTGCTTTTAATTTTGCCAGACAGTACAGCATTAAATGAAAACTTTGACATTCCCTAGGCAAGGACTTCAAAGTATTTAGCAATTCCAGGTACTCTGATAAATTCTTATCCAAATTATTATTTTCTAAAAATTTTCAAAAAAGAATACTGAAACAATGTATCCTAAAGTTTCTAGCCCAGTGTAAGTGCTGAATAACTTCAACAAAAGAATATAAAAAAGCTGTCTGTACTTTAAATTCTTTCCCACATTTTAAAAGGAATAAAAGTTCACATAGAATTAAACATTAATTAAATTTCAGATTTTAAGATAATGCACTTATACATCTACGTATAGTAACTAGCCCAGTGTGTTACACATACAAAGCCTTCAAATATTTGTTGAATTAATATTATTAAAGCTTATATTAAGAGTTGGTCCTTACTGTTGTGAATCAGAGATTACACATTCCAATTTTAACAGAACTTATTTTAATTTCCCTGAATTCTGGTCTTGCCTAAACGTAAGAAATACAAATGAATAAACTAGTAAAATGTAATTATATATTTAAAAAACAAAAAACAGTTTCTCCACAGTTCTATTTTTAGTATTTTAGTGACTTGGCATTTCTTACCCATTAAACCTAAAAAACAACTGTCCTGCAGTTCTTTTGACAATTTAGTCAGGCACACTTCTTTTTTTTTTTTACTGAAAGATTCATCAATGTTTTTTCAAAGTATATTGAGAGGCTCTAGTCACCTAGATGTATACTATTATCTAGGTGAGTAAGACATATTATCTAGGTGAGTGAGACATCTATGAAAATTAAGTTTACCTTAATACTACTCATTTTGTGCTTTAATAGTCTATTCTTCTATCTCCAGGCAATGTTTAAATATGTAAGACATCTATCCAGAATTTACTGGACTTGCTGGAGGAAAGCCCTAATGCTCAGGACTAATTTTATTTTTTACAGCATCAGCTTTAACACTGTTTTGCTGACATATCACTTATTTATTAATAAGATAAAAATGTGTATAGTAGTAAGAACTCCGTTACTATTTTAGTTTTTATAAACTAAACTTATCTACTAGTGATAAAACTATTTAAAAACACAAATATTGCAATTTTTTATGGTATAACAATTTCAATATTTATAAAATGAATATCTTAGAAAACTATAATTACAGATACATAATATATAGCTTACAGCATGTATGACAAATTATGTAACTATCTTATAAAATGTAATAACTAGATGATAAGAACCAACTTAGATTTAGATGCAAAATGTAATTTACAAATTTATATAGATGTTAAGATTTATTTTTACCAATTATATATTTATAAGTAAATATATATTTATGTAGAATATATAAAAATATTCTATATAAATATATAAAGAACTTAAAAAGCCATGTCAAATACTTTTGCTATTTTGTAATATTTCAAGCTTTCTTTCCTTTAAAAATATTACCTATAAGTCATTAATAATAAAACACATGAATTAAAATTTTAAATTAAATAAAATCTGCTTCCTAGTTAGGATTCTTTTAAATTAGCATTTAAAAACTAAATAGAGAAAGTAAAAAAGACATAACAAAGGAAAACACATTTCAGGAAGAGAACAACTATTCAATTTCAGTTTATCTGATTTTATATTCAAAATAGTAACTATTACTTAATGCACCTAAATGAAAGCTGTTTTTTTTCCTATCATTAAAATTTACCAGAAGCCATAATCAGAACCAGAGAGAGCACACTGTGGACCTAAAAGGTGTTTAAAGAATTAGAAAAAAGAAAGATCACATACAGCTAATCCAACCGTTAAAAAAAAAAGAATTAGAGAAGTTGTCTAATTTAATATAATATCTCTTTTTTGAAATCTGTGCTTATAAGTTCCAGATGGCTTCAAGAAGACTGTCTTTATCACAGAGCTGCTTCTCCCCTTCATAGGGCAGGACAAGAACCGGGCAGAGGAGAGGTAGAGCCATCAGTTAAGTTCTCTATTCCGGGGGAAAGAGCCTGGGTCAGCACTGGATCAAAGGTAACATTATTTGGTATAAAGAGAAATCCCTGCATGCTCAGTTGCTAGAAGCATCTATTTCCAAGGTTGATTTATCTAACCTTGGCAGAAGATGGAATACTTAATTGTAAATATTTCCGAAATGGGTCTTTAGAGATTTTTTCCTACTTAACTAGAAATGCATGTGAAGGACCTTGGATAATCTGATCCTAGTGTACTCAATTATCCTCTGACTTGAATGGAAAGCATAGGCAAAAATCATGTGGGAATCATCTGATTCCCTGAAGTAAATCTTGGAGGTAAATATAAAGTACAGTACTGATCCCTTAAATCCAGGCATCGCCAGGACACATCACTTAATAATGGCAACAGCAATGATTAGAGGCAGAATATTATTATGTCACGAACCATGCTAAATATTTTTCATATATTCTATTTAATTTTTAAAAAACCTTTAAGAAGTAAGTTGTTATTCGCACTCTAATACTATCAGGTATACACAAGTTAAAAAAGTAAATACTGAACTTCAAATACCTACCTTCCCAATTCCATTCTCCTCTTCAGAGTGAGCCACAAATTCACTATAAAAGTATTTAACCTTTTTTAATATGTGCACAGTATTCCATAGGACAGAGGAGCCATAATTTCTCATTAATAGACATTTAAAATTGTTTTCTACTAATACAAGTGATGCTGAAATAAAATACCCTTGTAAATACATTTTGTGCTCATGTCTAAATATTTCTCTAAGATAGATTCCCAAAAGTGGAATAGCTGAGTCAAAAAAAATTTGCAATTCTGACAGTGACAGAATGCTACTGAAGAAGGCTTCACCAATTTATATTCCCACCAACAGCATACAAATCATTCCCTATGTTTATTTCTCTGTTTTTTTCCCCTATTAAGTTTTATTTATTTATTTGCAGGAGCTCTTTATATATGCTCTGAACAGTAATTCTTTATTTTTTTAAGTATTGATTTCCTCCTTGTCTATTAGCTGCATTTTAACAATATAATGGGGAGAGGAAATCTTTTGCTGTATGCAATTTATTACTTTTCATTAGTCTAACCTGTTAAGATACAACCAAATGAGATACAGGAATTGGGGGATAGTATCTAATATATATATTTTTTAACATCAGTTTTGATGTTTTGTTTTTCTTGCCACACTGTTCCAAATGCCACTTTTGTCATAATTTTAATTCCCATACTGTGTGGCCTGATTTCTGGATTCTTCATTCTGTTTCACTGTTCTGTCTAGTCTGCTTCTGATATTTTCACATCATATTTTAGGGAGAGCTTTTACAGGTACATGGGACTGTAGAGAGGAATCTGGAAAACAAGTTTAACAGAGGAATATAGTATTTACTGGGCAGGTTATCTGTCTACTAATAGACATTTTCCACTATGTTCTTGGGTAATTTGCTAGTTTATTATAGTTTCTTTACTCTTCTTACCTTAGCACTGTGTTCCCCCATGAAACATACACAGACTCTTTTTTTTTTTTTTTTTTGCGGTACGCGGGCCTCTCACTGCTGTGGCCTCTCCCGTTGCGGAGCACAGGCTCCGGATGTGCAGGCTCAGCGGCCATGGCTCACAGCCCTAGCCACTCCGTGGCACGTGGGATCTTCCCGGACCGGGGCACAAACCTGTATCCCCTGCATCAGCAGGCGGACTCTCAACCACTGTGCCACCAGGGAAGCCCCATACATATACTCTTAAACTAGGCCTTTCAGGATTCAAAGGCCATTGCAGCTCTTGATTTTAGGTTTTATAACTTATCTGCTTTTAATAAAACCAGGAAAAGTAGAATAAACTTAACGTAACTCATACACTTAAATAAGTCATCTACCTTGCCCCTGCCCACTTCACTTTTGAATTATTTCTATCTTTTGTTTTCTCTAGGTTACTTCCCTAACCCCAGTTGATAAGCTTATACCACCATTTCTTGATTTATCAGTCTTTAGGCTTTATCTACTGACACTCTGCTATGAAAGGTAAAGAATTTATCTCACTATCCTCCTCTCCTGCACTGTCTCCTTCTAAATTTATTAGTGCTTTTAAATTTCTTAGTTGCTTACTTTTGTCTTCTACTTCTCATTCCATCAACTCTAGAAAAAAATCACAACATTTCACTTCTGGACACTCATCCTAATAACAGCTTTCTTTTATTCCACCTTTCAACTTCCAGAAATATCTCTCTACCTTCACTTGTCAGTGTTGATTTATATTCTGCCCTGAATAAAGTATTCTGTTTGTGATAAGCCTATGCCATTGCAAGGAGAATATTCTTTGTGTCCAAGTCAAACAAAATCCCTTTTCTTATATTTCATAATTCTATTATTGCTCAAAATCATGGCATATTTCAGTTTGCTTCTTACTTGAACCTACTTGTACGATTTAAAATGTTTTCTTGGATCTTTTCGTTCTTCTTGGGAAAGGAATTCTACAGCTTCTTATCCATTTCTTTCCCATTCTACAGCTTCTTATTCTATGTATTGCATAGAATCCACTTGATTTTTCTTAAAGGAGGGGAGCTCTGATTTTCTGTTCTAATTTTAGAGCAATTGCTTTTCAAGCCTATGGAAAAGCTGTCAATGGACTTTTTCTTTAGGTGACCTAAGATTAATTTCACCAATTCTTATATCTCATATTTCTTTTCTTGGTTATCATTCTTTTCTTGATGGAGTAACTTCTTCTGATAACTTCCTTAGAAATGGTGTATGGTAGGCAAAACTTCAGAATCCTTACATATTTAATAATATTTATTTTGCCTTCATACCTGACAGTTTGGTTGGGTAAAGAATTCCAGGGTTCTAGTTCTAGATGGTAGACTAAGCATACATAATTGACTATTTTTCCTTCTGAAACTATATTAAAATGATAAGGTAAAACAAAACGAAATAAAATTCTAAAACTGAAGGAAAAGCAGAGAAGAGAAAAGACTGTAAAAACTGGAAAGGATAATTGACAAGAGATTTAAAGAAATTTCTAGAAAAGTAGAAATTAAGTGAAGGTATGCTGTTAGATAAAACAGTGTCAAAAAAAAATCCCAACTCAGAACATGTAATATAGGAGGCAACTGGGGAGCCTATCCAGAGAAACTTCAGAGAGGGTCTAGCTGTATGAGGAGTGGGACTGGGGGGATCTTTACTGAGTCAGTCTAAAACAATTATCTGCGCTAGTTTCACATCCTTCCCCCCTCTATCAACCTCTGCATACCTGTACACCCTCAGCCTTAATGGCTTTCCATCTCTCACATGAGACCCTAGACAAAAAAGATAGAGAATGTCTCTCTAAAATTGTGGAATTAACTTCCTGGACAGAGCTAGGACGGACAAGGTATGTGTGGTACACCCTTTGCCATCCCTCTCCAAGGAAAGATCTCCTCATCCATGGCTGAGATGCAGGAGGAAGCTGAATGGCCTGTTCCCACTCACAGGGGAGAACAGAAAAATCAAGTGAGAAACAGACCTGCAGACATAGTATCGGGGGAAATTCAATAACATCTACTGAAAATAATCAATCAACATCTTCATTCTAAATATAAAAGGACTAATCTCAGCAGACACATGAAGAAAACTCTGAATAAGAATGACCAAATTAAACAAACAGAACAACCAAGTGGGGGAAAAAAAAAGAAGTTGAAAAGATTAAAAAAAGAGAGAGAATGCCTTTGGATTTAGGTATTTTTGATAATAAGAAACAATCTTGGTTTACTGGAGAATCTAGTGAATAAAGGCATTCAAAGAAATGTGTTTCAAATTACCTAGACATTCAAATACACTGCACTCCTAAGATAAAAGTACAAAACAACGCCCCCAAACAGCAGAAACACTATATCTCATAAAACAGCTGACTTACCCTGGGAAACTGTATTGAAAAGTGCAGGATCAATGGCCGGAATAGTCTGTGGAGTAGGCTGGATAGTGTTACTTGCTACACCTGCAAATCAGAAAACCATAAATGGGTATAAAAGTGTTACACCTCTCAATTACATTCTAGGAAAGTGCTCAAAGGATCATGGAGGAATTTCATTACTTCACTTAATTACTTTCTTGAAACCTTAATGAACTGAAATTTGATATACTTATTTGACGGTGGAGGCTGCTATAGGAAATATGCAGAAAAATACATTTTGAGTGTTTACACACATGTATTGGCCACACATTTCTTATTATGTATTTTGCATTTTCTATCATGTCTAATACTTCAAGTTGCTTCTCAAGTAAAGCTTACCTAATATCTGTAGAAGTAACAGACTCCCTTCCTACCTTTTAATTTCTTAAATAAATAATTAATTTTGGGGACAAGGTGGGCTATAATTATGATTTAGTTTAACTTATGGGATGAGTCCCATTTCATCACTATGAATGAAATTATAAATTATATATTCCAGTTTTCCAGTTTATGTTTCTAAGATAATACTTTTATATATCCAATAAGCAATTAGTTTTGACTTCCTATTAGAACCTGTCATGACTGTCATATTCAGTGGATAACTAGCATTCTTGACTAATACTAAGTAATATACTAGAGTTGAAGATTATTAATCATCTAAAAAATTAACATAAATTGTTGAAACTTCCCAAAAGAGACTTAGGTGATTCAATTAACAAGAAAGCAAATGAACAGGAAAAGTTGATTGCTCTTGATTAATGGACTGCCCTAAGCTAAGAGGATTCTGCTGCCCTAAGCTAAGAGGTTAAATCTGAATAGGCAATCTGTAGTAACGGTAAAGTAGGATAGACACTAGGACAAGAAGACAGGAACAGAAGAGAGGGAGAAAACAAATTGTGAAGTTTTCAGGGTCACGGATACATAGCCAATGAGAGTTCTAGAGCTATGGTTTCACAAAGGTTGACTGAAGTTCTGAAATATATTCTGAAGCTATGAAGTCTTGAGTGTGAAGGATCTTCTCAATCCCTATCCAAAGGAAAAAAAATGGTTTAAATATATACTATTTTATCTCATTTAATTTTGTCTTAGGACAAACTAGTTTCACTTTACAGGCTTGGTGCTATTAAGTCATGAAAGTCTTACTTTTTAAACTAAAAATTGAACTAACAAAAATTTTAACAGTACAAAGGGGTATGGATGAAAAGTCAAGTACAAATTTTAAATAGTACAAAAAAAAAAAAAGAGAGGCAGAGAAAAAAAAACGGTGAAAAGCCTGCCTCTCATTTCTATTCCAGGTCACTTGAGGGCTATCACTAGTTTTAGAATACCCTTCTATGCACATACAAACATGTGTGTGTCCAGGCGTGTGTGTGTGTGCAAGGAAATAAATGTACTTTGCTAAGAAATTTGTGTTCTAGCCTAAATCAAAACCCTCCGGACAAACTCCTTTCTCTATGGAGAATGCATTATTTGGTATGTATGTTTTGCCAGTGGTAATATGTCTGCATACTGTACTATTCTGTGCATTTTTCACTTAATATGCCTTAGCAATAATTCCAGATTAAATATATTTAAATCCACCTTTTTTTTTTAAGATTTTTTTTTGTGTGTGGACCATTTTAAAATCTTTATTGAATTTGTTAAAACACTGCTTCTGTTTCATGTTTTGGCTTTTTGGCCATGAGGCATGTGGGATCTTAGCTCCCCAACCAGGGATTGACCCTGCACCCCCTGCACTACAAGGCAAAGTCTTAACCCATGGACCGCCAGGGAAGTCCCTAATCCTCCTTGTTCTTTTTAATGGCTACATAGTGTTCCATTCCATGCATGAACCACAATTTATAATGCTATCCATTACTGACGAACATTTACGTTGTTTCCAAACTTTTGTTGCTAAAGCTAATACTACATGAATATTTTTATACACTGTATACATATATATGCATGAATATATTTACAGGAAAAAATTACAGAAGTATAACTGCAAAGTCAGGAGACATACAAATTTAAACTGACCAATTCAATGTCTATCTTTTGCTTGATTTTGATAAATACTAACAAACTATATTAAACTGTAAACATATGACATAATTCTCCCCATAAAACTTGAACTTTCAAAGGCACATAATTTACATAACATATATACTTTAAAGTTAGAATGCAAGATTTGAGAGGGCTCTTGAGACTACCTGGTGAAGTCCAGTGATTTGAAGCAGCTGAGCATAAAAACACAGGTAGGTGACTATATATATTCTTCACACAGATCTTTAGAAAAGAGGATAAGTTGACAACCATCTCACAATCTGGATATCAGTGCCATTCCTTACTAAGTAATTTGTGCTTCTGCCTAAATTAAAATTCTCCTAACAAACCCTTTTCTCTATGGAGAAGGCATACTTTCTTTGGTCAGCCTCCTGCATTAATTTTTAAATGCTTATTTGTACATCTCCAGATGATTAATTAAGTAGGTAATATTATTTAACAAGAACAAAACAGAATTTACAGAGAAATAATTTACTTACATAGTAAAATTTTACTTGAGCGATATTAAAAGAAAAACACAGGAAATCTGCATTTTATTAAGAACTCTGGTCACAGTCATTCAACCAAGACTTGAACAGACAGCACAGGCTGCTCAACACGCCTCATGCAGCAGTCAGAAGATGCTGCTTCTCATTTGTTTCCACGCCCAGGGACCAAGGCCTGTGTTCTTGGCAGCCATCATGACATGTTCCCACTGGGGCCTAGCATACAGGTTCAACTAAGTGCATAAATATCTGTTAAATCAGTAAAGATGGTTTTTAGTTTATGTTATTTATTTTTTGAAATGCCCAAATCTAGTTAATTTTCCTTCTTTCTTGATTTGGAAAGATTTCAACTGTCAATTATTGAATGGATTGCAGCCCCCTGGACTACAGTATGTTGGAATGATGTCACCATAAAAACATTCCTGGGGGAAAGCAGAACTGTGTTAGAAATTTCTTTCTTTCTATTACTTAACAAAAAGCAATGTTAACAAGTAACTTCTGGTTAATTTTTTAGCGGATGGTTGTTACACAGGCTATTTGATGAGATTAATATATATTCAAGAATTAAATGCTATATGATTTCTAATTAAGTATTAAATTGTTCTCCTGACTATGTGGTGTGGGGATTCTGAAAAGGGAGAAATGGGTGTTAGTTAGAAAACTCTAGAAGATGTTGTAAAAAGTATTAATTAAACAGAACCCTGAAGGTCAGTAGCATTTGAAGAGGCAGAGAAAGAGAAAGACATGCTAACTATGAGGAACACTGTAAGCAAATGTGAGAAGATTGGGTTAAATAAACCTCAGAATAGTCATGGAAAATAGCACTGATAGAAATGGTTAGGCCAGAATATTAACCACTTTGAAAGCTGTACAGCAGAATTCAAATACAGTACTTCTGTCACTTAAAAGAACAACAATAAAAGAGCTAAGCTTTGGATTTACTTACGAGGTGAGCTGCATTTATAATTAAAAGGCTAGCATTAATTCTAAAATAACTCTTTTAATCTATTTAGATTTATCACTGACATCTTCAATATTTACAGACTGTGAAAAGCATGTTTCAAGAGAAAGAAAAAACCATAGGCTGTATTGCCTCTATCTGATATTACACAGTGGTAAAAGCACAAAGAGGTAAACACTTGGCTGTTCAAACAATCTCTATCCCGGCCCTCCTTGCACCCTCTGCTTTTCTGTGGAAGAACTAAAAACTGTATATTAGTACATACTATTCTTTTCAGCTATCTTAAGGATTTCCCTTTGATAAAAGTGCATCCTGGACCTTTATATGAGAGAAAGTAAATCATTCTTAAAGTGAGTAAAAGGGGAAACATCTGCTATATTTATAAACTAAAAATGTTATTTCACTTTCTATTAGGCAACTATGAACTATTTTTTTTTTTTACTGTTTTAAATATAATAGAAAAAAAAATCTGCCAGCAAAGAGGAGATTCCCATATCTCAAGCCAACCTTAAGAGGAAAAATATTATGAGAAATGTAGGTTTTGATTTGATAGAACTTTAGTTCCTTGGAAGGGAAACAGAAGGGAGGTGCCAAAAACATGAAATCCAAAAGACTTGGATTTAAATTCTAGTACTGTTACTTATTAGGTATGTTTCTATGTGTATTTTTTTTGGATAACTGCTTAATTTCTTTAGTTTGTAAAGTAGGGATAGCAATATCTAATATAGCTCTGTTAGAATAAGTTTATGAAATAGCTATGATAATTATTTAAATGCTAAGTCTATAAGAATGTACACCTGATGCCCTAAAGCAGTTCCAAGGTTTTTAGTTTTATGTCTCACTCTGAAGAACATAAGAGAGTGAAAAAAAAAAATAAGGCTCATGCCAGATTTAAATGGATCAAAATGAACTGTTCATGCCAGAAAACTTCCTAACAGAAATAGAAGACTACCTCCTGATACCTATCTTTATGTGTGGATATTCTGAGCAGGAGTCTATTAGCTTGAACATATGAAACTACTAATATTTTATCACTTTTGTTATACAAAAAGACACTTTGTTTGGTTCAACCTATTATAACCCTCCTACTACAACCATATTTTCCCTCTCATATATACACACAGTATGCCTACATATAAAATATATGTATATGGGCCTATACCACAACTCTGCCCTAAGATACACTGCCTGAGCAATACCCCTTAGGCAATCTTTTTGTAAGGTCAATGTCCTACCCCAACAGTGACACTTTTCTTGATTCACAAAATGATTTTAAGTGTTCATTAACTTCCTATTAAATACCCTTTCTTTGGCACAGAAATAGGAAGGAACATTAAAAAAAAGGAAGCACAACTAAGGCACGTACCAGGCACCTGTGGAGGACCACGGACACCTAAGGGGACGGCAGGAACCCCCAGCGACCGGGTAGGACGTGGGGCGTGGGGGGTAGTGAAGGGGGAGGAGAAGTGGAGGTGGGAGGGACTGGCGCCCCTGGGGGGGGGCTGGGGGAGGGGAAGGGATCCCACGCCAGAAGGAGGAAACTGGGGAACCACTGG